AGCGCCGCCGGGGGGCCGCAGGCGAGCGGGGCCGGGCTGCGGCGCCGCGTGCCGGCGGGGAGGAGCGCAGCCTTCGGAGGAGCGCTGCGACCAGTGAGTTGGGGAGCCTTCCGGCTCGCTGGGGTGGGGTGTGAGCTGCACCCGCTGAACTTTGGCCCGCCACCCTGCGGCGTCTGTGAGCCGTCCCAGGGCGGAGAAGAAGCCGCGTCGACGCTGGCAGCGGGGCGAGCCGGGGAGGTTAGAGGGAAGGGGCCTGCGCCGGCTGGGGGGGCGCCGTGCAGCCGCGGGCAGGAGGCGAAGGGCGCCCCGGCGCGGCGCGGCGGCGGGGGAGGCGGGAGGAGCGCGAGGCGGCAGGCCCTTGCTCCGCTCTGCGCTGGAGCCCCCGAGGGCCCCCGCCGCCAGCCCCCGCACACGCAGAAGGGCCACGGGGGCCCGGAGCCCCGCGCCGCTGCCCTCACGCCCCGGCGACGTGGCCGGGCGCGCGGCCTCCCCTTGGCCGCGCTCGCCGCGTGGGTGGAAATTCAATCCGCTCTTTCGTCCAGGAAGCAGAAAATTCCTGGAGCCGCTGCTGGGGAGGCGCGGGGGCTCCCTCCGAGCCTCCTCGCTTGGCATGGCGCATCCGGGGGGGGGCGCTCTTGCGCCACGACGGCGGCTCAGAAGGTCCCCCCACCCCGAACTTGGCGCAAGGCGAAGCCCGCCGGTGTCCGCTCAGCCAGCGCCTCGAACCGGCGCCTTCTCCCGGGCATCGGCTGCAGGAGCGGCCGCGCCGAGAGCTGCGCATCGCCAAGCCCGAAGGCTGCCGCCGAGCTGCCGCCAGCATGGACGCCGCCCCATCGGTCGCGGGGCTGGGGGGCTTGCGGGAGGGGCTGCCGCGTCGCTTGCACCCACGCAAGCGACTCGTGGCTGGTGGCACAGGAAGGGGGGCCCTGCTTGGAGGGGGGGCTGCTCTCCCCGCCTCCCTGCCCCCAGGACAAGGCGGGCTGCAGCGCAGAAGGGCTGGCCTGCAGGGGGGAGGCCGAGGACTGCTCCTCTCCCCGTGGGCAGAGGGGCCACCCTTTGGGGCTTAGCAGAGCTCAGCGGCCTCCTCCCAGTAGGGACCCCTGCGGTGTGGCAGTGGCCGAGGCCCGGTGGGACTCACAGCCTCCCCCAGGAGCCCATTCAGTTTGTTTTGAGGCTGGGGACACCCCGCCCCCCCGTGTCCGTTCTGAGCACTGGAGTGCTGCATCCAGCGGGCACGCGGATCGGAGGGACCGAGCCGGCTGTGCGGCAGTCGTGCGCTCCATGACGTCCAGCCCGCAAAGGGGGTGAGGTCGGGGGACCCCCAGCAGCCTGTGGCCGTGGGGCAGGCTAGGAACGAGGGCAAAGAGTCGCCGTGTCGGAACAAGGAAAGAGGGGCCGGCACACGTGTGTAAAAATACCTTCAAGAGCGTTTAAGGGGGAGGACAGCCCGCAAAGACCCGTGGGAGTGTGCGGCCCCCCCGGCGAGGGGCCCAGGGAGCCCGCGGCACTCCCCACACGGCCGCCCTCCGTGGCCCTGCCGGGCGGGGCTCTCCGAGGGGCGGGGAGGCTGCCGGCCCTCGGCCGGGCGGGGCAGCGACATGGCCTCTGTCCGTAGTGCGCAGGAGGGTGGTCTCCGCAGGCCCCGAGCGGCCCCCGGCGGGCGGCTCAGGCCCGGCTCCTGGCGGCTGGCGCGGCGGCACAGGGCCGCTTGGCGAAGTTGGTGAGCGCCTGGTGCTGTGGCTGCCGGAAGGGCACCACGAAGCTGCTGGGCAGCAGCCGCCCCGTGCCGCTGGCCGCCACTTGGCCCATGAAGACGTAGCTGGCGCCTGCAGAGAGAGCGGGGGGAGCCGTGAGGCGGGGGCGGGGAGGGGGCGGGGAGGGGAGGGGGCCGCTCATGGCCCGGCGGGGCCGGGGGCCAGCACCTCGAGCTGCCCGGCCCGGCCCGGCCCGGCCCGGCCCGGCCGTCGGGATGGCCTGGAGCAGGAATGGCCGGAGTCGCAGCCCGATGTCTCGGAGAGCCCCCGCCACCGAGGGCGCGGGGCCCGATCGCCCAGCGCCCCCCCGCTCCCCGCTCCCCATGCCTCTTCGGAAGGAGAGGGGCCCGCTCAGCAGGCGCCTGGCCCCGTTGTGCTGGCTCGGGCCGCCATCTCCCCGCAGCTCTTCCGGCTGCCATGCACGGGAAGCGCCCTCCCCAGCCGCCCAAGCCCAGTCCCTGCTCGGTCCGGCCGCTGCTTTCTTTCCTGGGGGGGCACCATCATCCTGGCCTTTCTAACCGTGGCTGCCGCACGCCCCACCTCTGTTGGACTGCAGTGCCCATCATTCCCAGCCAGCATGGCTGGCGGCCCGGGGGGGGGTGTCCGTCCTCACCTTTCTTGAGGATGGGGCACTGCCTGCAGGGCACGTCCAGGCGGAGCGTGGCCTCGTTTCCGGCCGGAGGGAGGCGCAGGGCCCCAGCCTTGTACGTGTTCATCAGCGTCACCACGGCGGTGACCCCGGACCCGGCGCCGCGCACGACCGTCTTCACTGTGCCCGTGATCACTGCAAACGGGCGTTAGGGGGAGACTGAAGGGCAGGTGGGGCTTGGCCCCGGGGCAGGAGGGCCCGCCGCGTCTGCGTCCCTTGGGGCCCGCCCGGTGACCTGCCCCCCGTCCCCCAAGGCACCCCCTGGCCAGTACCCAGCCTGCTTCCAGAAGCCGAGAACTGCCCCCCCCCGCCCACTTTGCCGAGCTGCTGCCAGGAGGCTCACCAAAATCGCTGGCACAGAAGTTGCTCTGGAGCGTTCCTGCCCGCTGACAACGCTTCGGGCACGTGGTCGCGCCTGGGGAGGAAGAGGGGGAGGTTGCACCGGACGCGAGGCACCATCCCCCCAGGACCCGTGAAGAGACTGGGAGGGCCGGCTCTCCCCCCAGATCTCGGAAGCGGTGCTGGGCGTGTGGCCAAGGGGGTGACCACACGCCCCCCAGCCCTCGGAGCAGAGCGCAGCCGGGGGAGGGGCCGGCTGGGCGGGCAGAGCCCCCGCGTCCTCCCGGCCCAGCGCCCTCCACCGGTCCTCCTACCAGCGCTGCTCGCGGTGGGTCCCTCGGCGGCAGGTGTCGCCTTCCGCGTCGGCTTGGGGAGCGGCGTCGGCTTGGTGGGCTTGCCGGCGGGCCTGGGCTTCGGCGCAACGGGGGTTCTGCCCGGCTGAGTGGGCCTGGAGCCCGGGAAGATGGGGCCAGCGGGCGGGGAGCCTGCCGGGTCCACCAGCTCTTTGCGGTCCTTCACCTCGTAGGAGGCAGCGAAGCCGTCGGCCGTCACGCTGAGGTCCGAGACAAACTGGACCAGCATCTCGTTCCCGTCGGAGTAGAGCAGGCTGCGGGGAAGGAAGGGTCGGTCTGGGAGCCCCCCCGCCTCGCGCCCCTCGCAGCCCCGGGATGGGGTGCACGGGCGGGAAGCGGCCTCACGGGCACGAAAGCATCCCCAGGGAGCCCTGGGAAGGCAGGGGCCGCCGGGAGAGCCCCACAAAGCGCGGCCGTACCTGGGCGAGGTCTCCCCGCAGAACTTGCCGATGCGCCGCGAGTCGTCCTGGTCGCCCCCGTTGAACACGGCCACGTAGTCGTAGCGGCAGTAGGTGTCGGGCTCCACGTCAAACTTCCCGAAGGTCAGCGCGATCACCTGTGCCGGGCGGGAGGGGGGTCCAGCGTTTCCTGCAGCTGCTGGCCCACCCCCTGGGGGAGGGGAACGGAGGGGCTCCTTCCCTCCCGGATCCGACGCCAGGCAAGCCTGGGCAGGGGGTGCGGAGGGGGCGGTGGCGCTCAGGGCAGGCGGGCCCCTCGCGACGTACCTTGCCCTTCGGGGCAATGATGTGCCAGGAGCAGCTGATGCCCGGGGGGTAGTCGCTCTCAGGCCAGTTGGGGGTCTTGAGGGCGCCCTGTGCCTTCTCGAGTTTCCCGCCGCAGAACTGGTGCTCTGCAAAAGAGGCCGTGGCAGGGGCGTCAGCGGAGGGTGGGGGCCCGGAGGAGGAGCGCCCCACACGGGGGGGGCAGCAATGGAGGAGCCTCGCGCACGGAGGGCAGGGTGCCGTGCAGAGTCCATGCCAGGCGGGCCTCTCGGCCAGCAGAGGGGCCGGGGAGGGACAGCAGGGCGCCCGGTGGCCCCTCCGCCCTCACGGGCGTCTCAACACCCACGCGAGGGACCCCGCCGATGCGGGCACGAGCTTCCCCGGGCGGCGCGCGGGTCTGTGCAGGAATCCCTGCTGGGAAACTCCCATGCAGACCTCCGTGGGGGCAGACGAAGGGGGCACGCGACCCCCTGCCTGCCTCGGTGGCGCCACAAGCCCCCGGCGGACAAGGCCCTCCCGAGCCCCATGCGCAGCCACGGGCGATGCTCGGCACAGGCATGCAAGAGGCAGGCGGACCTCGGCCGCTTCCAAGCCGAGCAGGCGGGGAGGAGACCCCGGGCTCCGCCACCCGCCCTGCCTGCCCTGCCGCCGCCGCTGCCGCACGCCCATGCGCACGCCCCCTGCCCGGGTGCAGGCGGGGCGCTCCCATCCCGTGCCCCCCACGCTCCGCGGGCGCCCCCCCGAGCGTCCATCCAGCCGGGCTCCGAGATGCACCAACTCTGCGCCCGGGGGCGGGGGCGGGGGCGGGGGGCCTTCGGCCGCCAGGGCGGGACTGCGGAGCACAAGCGCCGCGGCCGAGGGCGGGGGGGGGACTGGGCTGGCGTCGGGCAGTCTCAAGCCTTGTTTGCTCTGCAGGCCGCCTGGGGGGTGAGCGGCTGGCGGGCCCCCAGGGGGGCAGAGCGGCCGCTAATGACGGGCTGCGGGAGGAAGCGCGGAAGGGGGCGAGCAGGGCTGGGGGGAGCGCCGGGCGAGCGTGCGGCGGCGGCGGCGGGGAAGGGCCGCCCCCCGCCTGCTCGCAGCCGCCTGGAGTGCGAAGGCCCCCGCCTCGCCCGCCCGCCCCGAGCGCCAGCAGCAGCCCTCAGGCAGGTCGTCCGCCCCTCCGAAGAAAAGCCAAGCCAGGCCGGGCGTCCGTCAGGCAGCGGGCCGGGCCTGTACTCACCATCCCAATAGTCCCAGGGTTCCCAGGCCCCCCGGGGGTCTACCTGAGGGGCACCCCATTTCCGCCGTTTCTTTGGGCGCCCTGGAAGAAGGTCCTGCGCGTTGGGACGGGGCCGGCGGGGCGGGCGCGCCACTGCCCACTGCGCTTGGCGCGGCGGGGCAGGCCGGACGGCAGCCCCGCCGGGGGCGGGCTGCCCGGGGCAGCCGCGCTGATCGCGCCCCGTCCGGCGCGGAGCAAGGCCTTGTCGACGCGCTCGAGCAGACCGGCGGGGCGCTTCCCCCGGCTGTCCCACGCCCGCTGGACGGGGAGGAGGGGGCGAGGCCGGGGGAGCGGCTCCCGGCCCCTGTGGCTGGCCCTGTCCCCCGGGGACGCGCCCGCCCCCCGCGCGGCGGACCCTTCCCGAGGCGCGGCGACAGCCCCCCGCGCTTCCCCTTCTCGCGGCCGGGGCGCGCTCGTCCGCTTCGCCGGGGTTCCCGCTGGGCAAGGCGCCCGCCCTGCAGCTCGAGCGCCCGCCCGCCCGCCCGCCCGCCCGGGGCTCCGGTGGGCGCGGCGCGGCGTTCGCGATGCTCCGCGGGCTCCGTCCGGGCTTTCGCGCTCGCGACGCGCAGCTGCCCAAGTCCGGGGCACGTGCCCCCGGGGGGCGCGCGATCCGCATTCTGGCGCGGGTCGGCCTCCGCGCAGCGTCGAGGCGCAGGGGCTTTTCTCTGCCGAAGTGCGGGCCGCGCGGCCCCCGGGAGGAAGGCCGGGCGCCCGGGAAAGGGCTCGCGCCTCCCGCGCCCGCGGGCCTCTCACCGTCCACGTGCGGGAGCCCCCCGCTGAACCACACCAGGAAGCCCCTCCCGCCGGTGCCCTCGTCCGACACCATCTGCAGCAGCATCCTGTTGCTGGTGGAGAGCAGGGCCCCGGGGCGGAAGGTGCCGCAGAAGCGGCCCAGGCGCTGCCCCTCGACGGCCGTGTGCCCGTTGTACACGTCCAGGTAGTCGTAGCGGCAGGTGGAGTCCGGCTCCAGGTCGAAGACCCTGAAGGACAGCATGACGACCTGGCCCTCGGGCACCTGCAGGGGAGCGGAGCAGAGCGGTGAGCGGCACGGCCGGGGGGACCGTGCGGGCGGCTGCGCGTGCGGGACCCCGCCCGGCGGGCCGCCCTCGCCCGTGTGCGCCAGCGCCCCGGGGCTGTTCCCACGCTCGAGGAGCCAGGAACGCCCCCCCCCCCCCGGCGTGCGGAGGGAAGGGAGCCCTCGCCGCACTGGCAGCCCCCGGGAGCCCGGCTCTCCCGGCAGAGCGGCCGCCCGGGATGGAGACGCGCTGCCCGCTTTCCAGGCACTGGCCCGTCTCTGCGCGGCCACGGATCCTCTTGGCGAGTTAGCAGCGCGCCAGATTCGTCATGTTTCCGGCCCGGGCTCTCTCTGGCGCGCCGGCCTGGATTGCCCAACGGCTTTTTGCGCACAGCGCTGCAGACTCCTTCCAAGGACGGGGCGCCGAGGCCGGGCAGGAGAAGGGGGGACGTGGGCCGGGCCGGGAAGCGGGAGGGCTGCGCCCGTTACCGTGATCGTCCAGGTGCACGTCTTGCTCGGCGGGTAGTGGTTGGGGAAGCCCTCGCTGGCGACGTAGCCGTTGTCCGCGGTGTGCTCGCCCCCGCACAGGAAGACTGGCCTGGGGAGAGGGCGGTGCGGTGGGTCGGGAGGGAGCGGGGCGGGCGCTGCCGCGGGGCCCCGGAGCTGCCCCTGGAGGCGGGCCCTGTGCTCCCGCGGGGCTGTGGGAGGCCAGGAGGGGGAGGCTGCCGGCCGCGACCTCCTGCCCTGCTCGTGCCCGGATGGCCGGGCGGCCGGGGCGCCAGCAGCAGCGACGAGGGGGCGCCGCCGCCCCCCGAGCCTGGGCTGGAGGCCCGGCGGGCAGCGGGCAGCGGCGCCCCGCTCGGCTCGGGCCCGCCCGCCCCGCCCCGCCCCCGCTCCCCCGACACCCTGCCCAAGAATTCTGGGAATCCGCTTGGCTCGTCCGCGCTCTGGCGGCCGCGGCCGCTCCGCTAAAGCCTTCCAGATGTGCGGAGAGCGCGCGGCGGGCCAAGGTCGGCGCGGCGGCAGAAAGCAGAGGCAGCAGCCTCGGGGCGCCCGCCTGGCCGGGAGTGGCGGATCTGCGGGACGTGGCAGGGCGAGGAGGGGGCGGCGGGCGGCGGGCTCGACGGCGAGGCGGCCGGGAGCGCGGCCGGTCCGCGCGTGGCGAGGGCAGGTCGCGGGAGGGGACGGGACGGGACGGCGCGGCGAGCGGGGCGGGCGGGCGCAGAACGCGCGGCCGCGGGACGGCGTGGAAGGGCTCGGCGGGCTGGGGGCTACCTGGTGTGGTTGGTGGCCGGGGCGGCCGAGGGGGCCTGCGCGCTGCTCCAGGGCAGCAGCGGCAGCAGCAGCGGCAGCAGCAGCGGCAGCAGCAGCGCCGGGTGGAACGAGCCCATCCTCTCGCTTCGCGGGCGGGAGCAGCCGGGACGGGACGGGGGAGCGCCTCGGGCGGCTGGAGAAGTGGGGCTACTGCCTCGCTCCGCCGCGCTTAAGAGCAGCTGGAGGGCCGGGTGGGAGGGACGCGGGCGGGCGCGCGGGGGGGCGGAGAGGACGTGGCCGCGGCGCGGGGCGGGCGGAGAGGTCCCCGCCGCGGGCAAGGGCCGGCTCGGGGGAGAGCGCCGCAGCGGCCGCCTGCAGGCAGAGTCAGGCGGACCAGGCGGGACAGAGCGCCACCGAGCATGTGCAGTGTGCCCTGCGCCTGGGCTTCGAGAGAGGGCGTTAGCCCCGCCGCCCCCGTCCCTCGCAGGCTGCCGGATCAGGTGGAGGACCGCCTGGTTCCAGCGTCCGGCAGGGCCCCTGCGGACCCCTCTCGGTCTCCCTGCCTCACGGGGTCAAGCGGGCGCCTGCCGCCCCCCACGAGACCCGGAGGGGTCGGGCCCTCTTCCTGCCCAGCCGCCCTCCGGATGTGCGGTAGTGCAGGTCCCACGCTGTTGTGCTGGCACGGGATGCTGGGCTTTGTAGGCCGGCCGGGGAATCACGGGTTCTGCCCTCCCCGTCCGTCGTCGCTCCCCCCTGCAGGGAACGGGGCCTGGCCGCACGGCGGAGTCCCGCCCACCGTGGCTGACGCACGACGGCTGGGCCCACGGGGCGGGGGCGCCGTCGGGGCTCCCGGCTCAGCCGCGTCCGCGCGCACCGGGCGGGCCAGGGCAGGGGCTCCTCGCTTCGGCGGGCGGGCCAGGGCAGGGGCTCCTCGCTTCGGCGGACGGGCCCTCCCCTCGCCCTCTCCGGGCCGGGGGCTGACCCCGCGCGCGCCGGCCACTTTCCTCCGCCCCCGTCCGCGGGCGCGTTCGAGGGCAGCGAGCCCCGCCGCTCCGAGCAGGCTCCGGGCGAGGCCTCTCGCGAGCGCGGGGGGCGCCTGCCGCCGCTGCAGCGGGACGGCCCGCTCGAGCATCGCCCGGAGCCCGGCCTGCTTCCCGGGCCGGGTGAGCCGCATTTCCTCCGCGGGCTCCGCTCTCCCGGGCTCGGGCGCCGCCCGCCTGCTCTGGCTGCCCTCCCGGCTTTGAATGTGGGGGCGTCCCCGAAGCGCTCGGCCCGGCGGGGCCAACCGCTGGACGGACGCCCCGCGCCCCTCGGCGGTCTTCCTGGCGCCCAGCTCCCGCGGGAACCGGGCCCTTCGGCAAGCCGAGCGCGCCCACGGCCGCGCGCTTCGCCTCCTCCCTTTCCGGTGCCCCCGCAGTCACGGAAACGTGTTGTGCCGGGCTGGTCCAAGGAGCGCCGAGCGCGAGGTCGCCACCCGCGGGTTCAAGGCGCCGCCCGACGCACAGGGCCCCGTTCCCCGTTCTGGCGGCCCCGCAGGCAACCGGAGTCGTGTCCCGAGGGTGCGCGCCGGATGCTGCCGGCGACCTGCCCCTCCCGCTCCCCAGGCCGTGCCCGTCCCTCCACGGCGCCTCCCCCTCGTCCCTCCTGCCTGCAGAAGTCGCAGCTGCTCCGACCCCTGGTGAGAGCTGCCCCCACCCCAAGCGGGGCCTCCCCGGCTGGGGCAGAGCTCCCCAGCACAGGTGGGCAGAGGGCTGGGGCCAGGGGTGACCCCGAGCTGGTGGAAGTGGGGCGGGCAGCAGGACCCCCTCTGGACACCCTGGCACAGCAAGGGGCACGATGGTGCCCCTCCCCCGCAGGCCTGCTCGCCACGCCAGGCCAGATCCAGCCGGCAGAAGAGCCCCACCCACCTGGCCGGGGCGTGGGAACGTGGGAGCCCCCTCCCAGCCCGCCTTCGGGGGGCCATCGCACTGCCCACCACCTGCGTGTAGGTGGGGTGCCTCCTGCAGGAGGGGCTGCTCTTGATTCCCGTGCCGCCCCCTTCGAAGCGCTCGGGGCTGGGGCGGGCATTGCGCTGCCACTGCCCGGCCTCAGCGGCTCCCCAGCCCTGCGAGGCTGCGTGACCCTCCAGTCGAAGAAAGTAACCGTCTCCTCCACGCCTTGGCCTCGTCGGTCCTCTGCCCGCTGCTCCCTGGCCGGAGGCCGCCAGGCGTGGCTGCAGCGCCAGGCGTGGCTGCAGCGCCAGGCGTGGCAGCAGCACCAGGCGGCCAGAGCCCGGGAACATGGAGCCGGTGGTCCCCCTCCCCCTCCCCCTCCCCCGAGCAGCCGACTGTGCGCGCCGACCCCCCTCGCTTCCCCTGGCCTGGCGGCCCACCCACTCGCCCACCTGCCCGCCCCGCAAGGAAGGAGGCGCCCGAGACGGCTGGCATCTGGCATTGGCACCTTTATTCGTTCAGCAGGCTTGGCAGAGGTCCTTCAGCTGCGGCGCCACCTGGGGTTGCTCAGGAAGCCCCCTGCCCAGCCCCCACGGCAAGGCGCCCGGAAGGAGGGCAGGAGGGACCCGCAGGTGTGGGAGCCCCCCCGCCCCCGCTGCAGGCCAGGCCTTCTCAGGGAACACCTGCTGCAGTGGGGGGGAGGGGAGGATGCCCCGGCACACCTCCGGCAGGGCGATGGGGGTGCAGGTGGTGCCTCAGAACAGAGGTAGAGAGGCCTCCTCGCTCTGCCCCATAGAATCGGCAGGGAACGGAGGAGTGTTCCGGCAGGAGCAGCCCCCGTTTCTGCAGGAAGTGGGCTCCTCCCGCCCCACACATGCTTTGGAAAATGGCGGGCAGCCGACGTGGGGCTGCAAGAGGGTGCGGAAACACAACCGTCCGCCTGACGACTCTGGGGGGCAGCCACGTGGGGCTCCGGGGCCCCAAGAGCAGCTTGCGCTTTCCTCGTGCACACTTCCCCTCGGATATTCTCGCCGAAGTGGGGCGAGGGGGCCTTCTGCCCCACAATCCTGCCACAGCAACTCCGCTGCCCCCTTTGCGGCCAAGAGCTGCCTGGCTCCCTTCCAGGCCACAGGAGCCTCGGGGGAAGCAGGCAGGATACGCAGAAAGGGGCTGAATGCAGAACGGCCGGCACCCACCAGCCCATCAGCCCTGGCGGCAGCAGCCTCTGGGCAAGGGGGCACGCCACAGAACACGCCCCACGGCCCAGTAGGGGGCTCCTTGCAGCCACGAGCAGCAGCGTGCCGGCTGACCTGCAGCGCAGCCTCCTTGCCCCGGGCTTGCAGGCGCTTGAGGAGGGCTCCCCAGAGCCCTGGATGCCTCCAAGTCATCCCCCCCCAGGGGCCCCAGGGCCCCCGCTGGAGCCGGCGAGCGAGGGGCCTCCTGCACCGCCCCGGATTCCACTCGGCTCGCCTCTCGACAGCTCTCTTCCAGACCTTCACGACGTCTGACATGCGCAACCCTCGTTTCCTTTCACATGCACTTCCCCACTTCCCTTCTCACATTCTAGTAGTAACGGAATAAAACCAGCTCGTCTTCTCCCTTCTTGCGCGCCCCAAACCCACACCCCACACATTCGCTGAAACCTGCAAATGCTGCTTCGGATTTGCCCCACCAGCAAGCCACCGCCACCGATTCACCCGCCGGCCCCGCCACACTGCAAGACACACGCCCGGTGAGCGCCGGCCTCCGCCGCGACTGTCCGGTCCCTGGCTCCACGCACGTGACCACAGGCCACACGGCAAGCTGCCGGTCGGTCGCCGGCCGGCCCACACCGGCCCTCCGGCTGGCGCGCCTTCACGGCGGGAGCCGCCTCCGCCTCGCGATCACACGGCGCTCTCACGCTCCTGCTGCAGGTCGGGGGCCGACTTCTGCCGGCGCATGCGCGGCGGGGTGTCGCCGCTGGGGTTGCCGGGCCGGTGCTGTGGGTAGGGCTGGTGCTGGCGGGGGTAGTAGTTGCGCCGGGGGGCCGGGTGGTGCTCCGGGGCCTGGCCGCGCCGGCCCCGTGGCTGCCCCCCCTCCAGGGAGTTGCGCCGGGCGGGGTGCGCGGCCCGCTGGTGCCGCGGGCCGGGGCTGCTCCGCCGGGCCGGGGCGGGGCCGGCAGGGGCCTCCTCCGGAGGCGCGGCCCCCTTCTCGCCGGGGCTGCCCCCCACCATGAACGCCGAGGTGGGCCCCCACGAGTAGCGGTGCTGTGCGCTGCTCTTGAAGGGGAAGCGCAGCTTGCAGTCCTGGGGCGGGATGAACTTGCCCGGCGCGCCGTGTGGCTGCCCCCGGCGCAGGGCCTTGCCCAGCGGGGGCGGCTGCTGCAGGCCGTGCGAGCGCGCCTGCTCCTGGCGCAGCCAGCGGAGGCGCCCCCGGCGGAAGGCGGGGTCCTTCTCCATCAGGCGCGACACCCGGTCGTAGCAGGACAGGGCGCCCTCGGCCTCGACGGGGCGCGGCGTGTCGGGGCTGCCCGCCCGCGCCTTCGCCTCCCCGTCCGCGGCGAGGCCGTCCGGGGCGAGGAGCAGCGAGCCCCACTCATTCTCCAGGTCTTCATCCTCCTACGAGGGAAGGGGGCTGGTGAGGGGCCGGGGCGCCGGCCTGTTCTGCCCTTGTGCCGCTCGCTCGCTCTGGCCCCGCCAGCCGCCTCAGTCTCAACCCCTGGGCTTCCCAGCGGGTGGGGTGGGAGGCTGGCAGGCCCCCCTCGCCTGGAGCCCGACCCGCACGCTCCCCCCACAAGCCACGTTTCAAAGCAGAGGGACTCGCACAGCTGTCGCACTGAAGACTTTCCAGCTGCTGAAGAGCCGGGGCCTCTGCCTCCACCGGTGCGCCCAGTTGCTGGCCCGGTTCCCTCCAGCACCTGCACAGGCCTGGCTCCCCCCTCCCCGGATCCTTGCCAGCAGCTGAAAGTGGCAACAGCCGCCACGGGCACTGGGGCAGTGGCCTTCGCCCGGGCCGGAAGGGATGGCCCTGTGGCTCTTCTCGCTCGGCGCCTGCGGAGAGGGACGCCGAGGTCACACGCTGCGGGAGCGAGCGGCACGGGGGCTGCCTCACTGCAGCCGTTCCGTCGGAGGCCCCGGACCCGGCCGGTGGGGGACCGGGGCTACAGCCCCAGATGCCTGGGTGGCTGCAGGCGGGGGCAGGCGTGTCTGGGGCCCCCGGCCCGCGCGGCATCTGGGCTCTTCGCACGCACTGCGGAAGCCGGGCGGGGGGGCAGTTCTACCTTTTCCCGGGGGCGTGTGCAGCTCACCTGGGCGCTGATGGGGATGACGCGCTCCATCTTGACCACGCGGTCCCGCAGGGCCCGGATCTCCTCGTCCTTCATGTTGTTCTGGATCTTCACCTCCTGCAGGATGTCCGTCAGCTTGTCGATGTGGGCACGGAGGTCATCCACGTCCGCCCCGGGAGTGCTGCTCCGGCCGTCGGAGCCGCCGCCGCCGCCGCCGGCCCCGGGGCCGTCGGATTCGCCCACGCCCACCGTGTCCCAGACGTCGCGGGCCACGGCGCGCCAGCTGTCGCGCTCGTTGGGGTCGCGCTTGCCGTAGAGACGGCACAGCTCCTTCATCTTGACGATGCTCATGGCCTCGATCTCCTGGCGGGAGTGCCGGAAGTCGTTGAGGGCTACCTCGTAGCAGATCTCCTTGACGGCCTGCATCTTGAGGTCGGCCAGCGTGAGCCAGCGCGGGTCCTTGGCCACCCGCCGGCGCTGCGGGATCTGGTACACGCGCAGCGGCTCCCGCCGCTTGCCTGAGCTCGGCAGCCCGCAGCGGCGCACAATGCTCTGCACCTTGGTGGCGGGCAGCTTCTCCCGCAGCGACGAGATGAGGCGCCAGCTCTCCTCGCACGAGCGCTTGTCCGAGTCGTCGCCGCTGTCCGAGTCGGCGTACTGCAGGGGGAGGGAGCGGAGCGGCGGCTGGACCCATCGTTCCGTGGGGAGAACGAGAAACCACACGCACAGCCGTGCTGTGCAGCCAGAGGCCGGCTTCCCGGGGGGCCCCACACGCGGGGGCAGAGGGGCGCGCCTGTAATAAACGGCCATGCGCGCCCCACGCCGCCCTCGGCCCCCAGAGGTCAGCGCGAGGGGCAGTGCACCACATGCTGCACGCTGCTGGCCGTGGCCCCCGGCCCACACGGGCCGGCCTGCCGTGAGCCACGAGGCCTCTGCCTCGCCACGGGAGAGAGTGAGGCGGACGCGATGCGCGGCCACGGCCGCCTCGTGCGCCTCGCCCTGGGCCGGAGCTGCCCTCGCTGCCCCCCGCCCCCCACGCCAGCCGGCCCGAGCGGACGCCGCGGGCAGCCCTACCAGCCTCTGCTGCTCCAGGAGCAGGTCGGCCTCCTCCTTCTCCCGCCGGTACTGCGTCTCCAGGTCCTGCAGCCTGAGCACCAAGAGGCCACAGCTGAGCCTGCGACGGGGCCTCTGCCGGGTGCTGTGCACAGAAGCGACCCCCCAGCCCCCAGGGCGCTCCTCCGCAGGGTCTGCGGAGCTGCCTCCAAGGAGGACCCCGGTGGTCGAAAGCAGGGGCAGCGGCAGGGAGGGGCAGCCGCTTTCAGCAGCGTTGGCACGAGCCCCCGCCCCGCGCACGGGCCCAAGAAGGCCCTTCGGCCCTGGCCACCCGTGCCCGGCCTGGGGAGCCGGGCCCGCAGGATCCGAGCCTCAGTCCAGGGCCGCGGCGGGGCCGCCCCGGCTCCCCTGGGAGCCCACCTCTTCTCCATCTCCAGCTTGATGTCGATGCCCTGCTTCTCCAGCAGCTCCCGCTGCGCGAAGTTCCAGTCGACGGCCTCGGCCTGGCCCTCGGCGGGGGCGCTGCGCTCGCGCTCCAGCCGCGCCTGCTCCGGGTGGTTGAAGCGGAAGACGTGGTTCTTGCCCATCACTATGCGGTTGCCTGGGCAGCAGCGGCGGGGAGGGAAGCCGTTCAGCAGGTGTCTGCCGGGGCCGGGCCCCGCTGGTAGGGAGCCCTGCACACAGGGCAGCACAGGCCACAGCCTCCGGGCGCACGGTCTCGGGGCATGTCCCTTGCGACGGCCACGGGCCCGTCCGCTCCCGCAGCGCCCGCGAGAGCACCGACCGATGCTCGCGGGAAGGTGGCGCAGGGCACGGAGGCCATCGGAGATCGGGAAGGCTGCCCCGGGGCACAGGCCACCGGCCTCTTGGGGCTGCCTGACCACCACCCCACGGCCCGCGCTCGGCTTGGAGAGGCCTGCCAGTTTGCCGCCCGTCCCCTCCCCTCCCGTCCCGTTCAATTCCCTTGTGGCAGGGCCGGGTGGTCAGCTGAGGAACTTCCCGGAATGCCAGCAGGCCCTTCACCCGTCCAGCCCGTTTCGCTTCCCCCGCCGACAGCCGCGACGGCCACCGGAGGGGACGCGGGAGCTGCCACGCACCCCCTGGCCTACCTGAGTGCAGCACGAGGGGCTCCGTCACCTGCTTCCCGTTGACGTAGGTCTCGGCGCCCTCACATGGCTCCAGCGTGACGACGACTGCGAGCGGGGAGAGCCGGGTTCAGGCGGTGCGGCTCTGTGAGGGGCCGGCCAGGCCAGCCACGGCTGCTCGCCACCGCGGCTGCGCCCTCACCCCACAGCCCCCCCGAGGGGCCCTGGGGAGCGAGGGCCCCCGCCAGACCGGAGCAGGGGGACCACGGGAGCCCGGTCCTCCCAGTGGGGCCCGGGGGGACACCTGCCGCTCGCTGTCCTGCCACACCTTCCCACCCCGCCACCCCGCGGGGACCACGGACAATCCTCTACCTGTCGGGGGGCTGCCCGAGGCCCCGGCGCCCTGCTCCGCGCAAGCACAAAGAGAGGGGAAGCGAGATCGTTACGACAGGACAAGCGGCAAGTCCCGGGGGGTCACGGCCCCCCCCGCCCCCCCTGCCCTCACCTTCTCCGGACTCCGCGGTGACGCTGCGGAAGAGGCAGTGCTGCTCCCGGATGAACTGCCCCGTCAGCTTGATCTCCACCTCCTGCTGGCCCACCCTGGGATGGGGACGGTCCGGGGGGGGGGAGAGAGCGAGCAGGGTGAGTGGGCCGGTCGGGAGCTGTTCCCCAACCCGCCGCAGGCCGAAGGTCTCACCGGGTGACGCCATCCTTGATGTGGTAGAGAAGGCACTCCGACATCAGCGGGTCCTCGTTCAGGTTCACCAGGTGCGGTGTCTGTGGCGAGACAGGTGTGGGCGCCGTGGGGTGTGGGGTGGGGCGGGGCGGGTTGGGAGGGGAGGGGAGGGGAGCAGCCTCCTCCGGCCCACGGCACGGTTCCGCGTCCACCAGGGGCGCTCAGGCCAACACGCGCCCGCAGACGACGGCCCCCCGCAAAGCCGGAAATGGTGCCCCCTCAGGCGGGTGATGTGCTGCCAGGGCGGCTGCGGACCCCCTGCCACAGAAGGGCGGCGCTGTCAGGCGCCTGGGGACAGAGCGCCTGCTCCGGACGCGGACCCAGGAGCCCCCGCAGCGGCCCGATGGCCAAAGGGGGAGGCAGCTCAGGCCAGGCCAGGCCAGGCCATCCGCGCCCGGTGCACACTCGCCCTGGGTGCACAAGGAGGGACCGGGGCTGCGGGCGCTTACCTTCCTGGGGGAGAAGACCCCCACGGTGCCGCCGTCCTCCCGGAGGGCCACCCCCATCTCAGCCAGGAGAGCTTCCCTGCGGGGGAAGCACGGGCGAAGGGGCTTCAGCTGGGGGCCCCACACTGAGGGCCAGGAAGGGTCGCGATGCCGGAGCAGACCAACAGGGGGCGGCATCAACAGGGCAGCGAGTCCCCCAGCGGCCCCAAGCAGCCCAGGAGGAACGGTGGGGCACCACACCCCCCGCTCGTGCACCCTGGCTGCACCGAGGCGCCGCTCAACCGCCCCCGTGCTCTGCAGGGGCCCCGGCCTGCCCACGAGGGGACTGGGCGCACGCGTCCGAGCCCCGGGAAGCGGCCCTGGGCACGGGGGCCGCACGCTCACCGCTCCATCCGGATGGCCTCCGTCTTCCGCAGCTTTTCCTCCCAGGTCTCGTTAAGCTCCGCGATGATCTTCTCGGTCTCCTGCAAAGGCAGAGCAGGAGCGTGGAGGATCGCCCCACACAGGGTGGCCACTGCCTCCGTGGGAAGCCTCGGGCTACAGGCGAGGTCAGGGCTGCATCCTGGACCCCGGGGGCCCCCTCCCCATCCGCCAGTCCAGCACTGAGATGGAGGAGGACGGAGGCGCGCGGAGTGTGGCCTGGAGAGCAAGCGCCACCGGGCTCCGCTGCACCGCAGGGGGGTGCAGGGGGCCGGCATTTCCACAGGCTGCACCCCACAGCCGCCTGCTCCACAGTCCGCCGCGCCAGCCCCAGGCGGTCTGCTCTTGTCGTGAGCTGCCTCAGCACTTGCTGCCGTGCGGAACGCAAGCGCTGCCCTTCCCGGGCCTGCGAGGCCGAGCCCCGGCACCTCTGCGCTGGAAGCCGGGGCTCTGCAGGAATGCCCAAAGCCCGCACTGAGCTGCGGGCCCCCTGGGCGGGCATTGGAGCCGCTGGGGGGGCTCGGGGGCCCTCTGCTCACCTGCAGCCGCTCCATGGCCTCCTCTGTGCAGATCATCTCCGGGGCAGCGTGGAAGGGCTCCGGCTCCCCATTCAGGGCCACGGGCTCCCGCAGGAGAGTGGATTCTGCTGCGGGGGTGAAGGGCAGGGCCGGGAGGGCCAACCCGCTGCCCGGGTCACCGGGCTTGGCACCTGAAAACATGCGTGGAGTCAGGAGCAGACCCCCCAGTGCCGCTTCCGCCAAAGCCCCGCGGCTCCCGGACGGCCGCAAGAGCCCGTCGCACCTGCCGGGACAGACACGGGCGCAGAGACTGTGTCAGGACAGGCGGCACGGCTGCCAGGGCCCTCCACCCTGGCGGGCCCACACGCCTACCCGGGAAGGGGGCTGCGGAGAGCCCCTGTGCCGAGAGCAGGTCCCGCAGCCGGGCCACCTCCTCCTTGAGCTCGCGGATGAGCCGGGCGTTGGGGTCCTCGTTGATGATGGCGTTGCAGCGGATCTGCTTGGTGCGGTCGGCATAGCTGGGGGCACAGCGGGGAGAGCAGCGCTGAGGGTGGGGCGGGCGGGAGGGACGGGGGCCCGGCCGGCTCGGGGCTCCAGTGTCCCCGGGAGGCCCCCTCGCCCCGCCCCACCCGCCGCTCCGGCTCACCGGAGGGTGCTCAGTGTCTCCTCGTAGTTGATGTCAGCGGGGCTGAGGGCGGCGATCATGGCGGTGCGGGAATTGCCCCCTGAAAGGGAGGGAGGGGGAGGAAGCGGGGCTAAAGGAGGGGCAGAGGGCTGGCTGGACCAGCAGCACCCCCTCTGCTGGGGCAGCTGTGCAGAAAGAGGCCAGCAGCTCCGAAAGCAGAACTTTTGGGTATGCGAGGTTTCCTCCCAGCTGCTCCTGAGGGGGCACGGGAAGCCCCGTCTCCGATCCCACGGCCCCGGCATCCACAGCACACCAGTGGGCCCACTGTCCACCCACCGAAGCGGTCCCTCCCAGGGCGAGCTGGGCTGCTGAAGCCGGAAGCCAAGCACATCTGGCGTGACGGGTCTCTAAAGCCTGGCCACCCCACCTTGCTCCCCCCGTGTCAGACGGGTGCCCGCGTTCGCCCCGCCATCTCTGTCGGAGCCATGCCTGCCACAGATGCCTGCCCCCATCCAAGCAGGACGGGACTTCCTGGGGGGCAGCCAAGGGGACCTTCCCACCCGGGCAGCCCCAGTTCATGGGGAACATGGAAATGCAGGAATGGCCCCAGCAGAGATGCGCCAGGCCTTCCTGCGGCCTCCGAGGCTCCGCCAGGACACGGGGCGGGAAACCCCCTCGTGCGCCATTCACCTTCCCGGATGGGAAGGCCAGCGGCACACGGGGGTGGGGAGGCGGGCCCAGCAGCCCCCGGAGCCTGGAAAGACCCACACGGCATTCCAGCCAAAGCGGGCAGGGAGGCGCTTCCGTTATCGCCACCCCAGCCGGGGGAAGGCAGCGAGACCCAGGAGGCAGTTGCCGGCCTGGGCTGACTTCTGGGGCCCGGGGGACTGCCAGCAGAAGGGGCCCTCTGCGGACTGGCCGGGCTTGGGGCTGGAGGTTGCTCCCACTGATGTGAAAGGTGCCCCCCACCCCCCAGATCCCCCCCCCACTTCCGGGGCAGTCCCCCTCACACGCACCCAGGTTCTCCTTCAGCAGCCAGGTGAGGACCGAGTCGCGGTAGGGGACGAATTCGGATCTCCGCTTCTTGTTGTTTTGCTGGAGGCAGGGAGGGCAGCAGGGTGAGGGCAAGCCCCCGTCCCCCGAGCCCCCCGTGCCAAGGTGGGGAAGGGAGGCCACAGCAGAGGACGGGGCAGGTGGGTGCCCCGGGCCTGGCGAGTGCAGGGGAGAGCGCCGAGCAGTGCGGAGCCGGAGCCCCACGGCTACCCCATGGCCAGGAGAGGATGGGATGGACAAGGACGGGACCCAGGGGCTTCTGGGGCACCCCTACAGCTGATGAGGGGCACGTGCCTGGGCCAGCTGCGCTGCTCCCCCTCTCTGCCTCTGGGGCAGCCCAGCAACAAAACCCGGCCCCTCTGCTGCCCCACGGCAACCCCAAGCGCCTTGCCGGACCGCGGAGCACCCTGGGCAGGTGGGTGGGGTGGGAGGAAGGGACCCACGGCCCCCTCACCATCTCCGCCAGCGCCGAGATGACCTTGCCCAGCGTGGTGAGCGATTTGTTGATGTTGGCGCCCTCCTGGAAAAAGCAGAGCACACGCTGGTGAGCACCGTGCTGCATGCGCCCACGCACACGGACACGCATGCAGGCGGCGGGGCAGGCGCCTCAGCCGCAGCCCTGCGGCTCGGCCCCTCCGGGCCCCGGGCGAGCGCGTACCTTGAGCCGCACGCCCTTGGCCCCCGACGAATCGGCCCGCTCGCTGCCGGCGAGGTCCACCAGGCTGATCTTGCTCACCTGCGGGGAGGAGGGACACTTGGTGGGGGCCGGCGCGCCCCCCGGCTGCACGCGCCCTTCCGAGAGGATCAGGACGCGGCCGATCTGAGGGACCGGCAGCGCCAGGCGGGCCTTCCGCTCGGCCTCTCCTCGCTGGGGGCGGCGGCAGCAAGGACGGGGGGCAGGGCCCCGTCGTGCCGGCCCCGGTCAAAGAAGGGAGGCCCCGCGGCACCTCAATGCTGCAGGCCGGTTGCGCAGCAGCAGCAGCCCCACGGAGGCCGTGGGGCAGGCGGGTGGAGGCCGGGAGGGTGCCTGACCCCCAGGAGCCCCGGCCGCAGTGGGCTCACCTTCTCTGTGTCGAGGTCTGTGAGCTCGTCGTGGCGGCGCTGGGTGAAGACGATGGTGAAGACGGCGTGGGAGCGGCTGCTGGTCTCGTTCATATTGGTCGCCGCGACGGTCCTGGCCAGGAGGCGGGGGGAACCAGGCGGGTGTGGTGAGCCCTCCCGCCGGCTCAGCTTGTCCCATGCCCGCGGGGACCCCAGGGTGCCCACCCGCTCTGGGCTTCGAGGCCCCATTCCACAGCCCCTTTCCCACCAACAGCGAGGGAGTGGCCTGGCCCACCTGTCCTCCGCAGGGCCGTGGGCAGGCGGAAGCATGGTGGGCACAGAGAACCTCTGCCCGCCATGCTGGCGTGCCCCCAGGGAGGGTCATCCTCTGGGCGAGGGTCCAGCGGGGGAGCTGCCTCCGCTCTGCCCTGCACCCTGACCCCCGGCCCCTCCCTGGCACCAGCGGCTCAGAACCCTCTTCCGCGCCCCGCTGGTGGGCAGGGCTCCCGGGGTGATGGCCCCCGTCCTGCTCGAGGGACCCTGTGGTCCGTGGGGGGGCCACGGTGCCCCCTGCCCCACCCCACTCTCTCTTCCGGATGCTCCGGAGGACCCACCTGGCTTTGTTGCCGCAGTCCATGAGATCGGCCACGTCGTCGTAGGAGGTGACGGCCAGCTTGGAGAGGTCCTCCACATAGGGGCCCATGATGGGGTGCTCCCGCACCCGCAAGTTCCCGCGGCTTTTGGGGTTCAGGAGGTCCCGCACCCGCTCGCAGTAGATCTCCATGTAGCTCACCTGGGCGAGGGAGGCCATTACGTGGGGGTCACGGCGTGGGGGGTGGGCCGGGGTAGCGGGAACGGAAGGGGGGCCCAGGGCAGCGGGAGGCGCTGAGGCCGCGCTCGCTCACCTCCACGGAGTACGACAGATGCGGGGACTTGTTCGTGTTCACGCGGGCAAAGAGATCTTCACAGAGCTGGAAGGAGCAGGAGGAGGAGGGTCGGGCAGCGTTCGCCTCGCTGGGGCGGCCGGAGCCGGGCAGCAACGGGCGCCACAGCGGGCGCAGACCACCGTCCCCACCGCCTGCTCAACGGGGTGCCGCGGCTGCTCTCCGCCAGCCCCCCCCCAATCCCCCCACCAAACCAAGCGGGACCTCCCCCCCATGCAGCGCAGCCAGGCGGCGGCAGGAGCAGAGGCACCGTGCCAGAGGGCGGCCCGGTGGGGGCTCGCAGCCGTGGGCGCCAGAAGCCTCCCCCCGGCACTCTGGGGGCTGCTTCTGAGCCCCAGAAAGCAGGACGGGCTGGCCACCGTCCGGCAGAGCCAGACGCCGCCGAGAGAGTGCAGCCCCCCGCTCGGCCCCCGCCCCCCATCGACCTGGGGGATGATGCCGCGCTGGCCGGGCTCCTGCCGGCCCATCATGGTGTAGGACTTGCCGGCCCCCGTCTGCCCGTAGGCAAAGATGCAGACGTTGTAGCCCTCGAAGGCGTGCAGCAGCATCTCCGCGCCGATGTCGCGGTACACCTGCCCCTGCGAGGCGAAGTCAGGGTCCTCCTCCTGCAAGGCGGTGCCCGTCACGGGGTGCCCCTCTTTCCGGAGGGGCCTGCCCGCTCCCTTGGCCCCGGCCCAGCCCCCCGCAAGTGCCCGGAGCTCACCGAGGTGTGGGACCAGTAGGAGTAGTCGAAGGCGAAGGTCTTGGGGGCCTCCTTCGCCTGCTTGGGGTTGGCGATGCCTGCAAAGGACCGGGGCCCCGCGTGAGGTGTGTCGTGCCGGGGGGCCGAGACCCGCCTTCCCCCCGGCGTCAAGGACCCGGTGGGTGGCCAGCAGGGAGGTCGCCAGCCGCGGGGGCCTCCTTCCTCTCCCCGTGAGCCTCTGCATGAGTGCAGCCGGGTGCTCTGGGGGCCTCCTGGGGGCTGAGCCCCTCGGTGGGTCGAGGCTGGAGGGCCGGCGACGGACTTGTGGGCCGCCTCCAAACGCCGGAACAGGCGCCCGCTCGGCTCCCTCGAGGCAGGGCCGCGATGGAGCAGCCGACATGGCTGAGCCAAAGGAGCACCCGCCCGCGGCCGCAGAGGAAGCCTGCGGCCCCCTGGCCAGAAGTGGGACGGCACTGCTGGCACGCTGGCCCCACGGCTGGTTGCTCAACCGCAGCTCGCCGGAGAAGGTTCCACGCATAACTCGCCCAGCCACGGCCCTGGAGCTGCCCCTCAGCGGGGCAGGATGGGCGGGCGCGGGCAGGCGGGCATCTCCCGCCCCGGGGGACCACAGGGTGCGCAGGAGTGGCTTCCTCGCTTTCGGAGCATCGCCTCCGCGCCACCCCCAGCAGTGGCCTCTCAGCTGTTCCAGGGCTAAATATAGACGGGGACAAACAGCCGAGGAGCTGCGCAGATGCCAGCGCCGGCAGCCAGATCACGCGGGGGCAGCAGGGGTGCCTCGGGGGCCCGGGAGGCCGCGCTGACCCACGCTCTCCCGGCGAGGAGGGTCAAGGGAACCCTTGTGCGGCCAGGGCAGGGGCCAAATCTGGCGGCTGAAGCTTCAGAGTGCAGAACGGAAAACAAAACCAAACCTTGGCAGTTTCCATTTTTCCAGGCTGAGTGCGAGCGAGAGCGCGGATTTCTTGGGAAGTGTTTATACAGAACGCAGCCAGCCGAACGCGAAGGGCCTCGGAGACTCGCCTGCCCTTCCCATCACCAGCTGACAGGATTAATTCAACTTAAATGCGCCCCAAAAGATGTTTATCCGGGCTGTTTTGATAAGCGGCGAACATGTTCCCGGCTCAGCCAGCCGGCATCGCTCCTTCCCCGCCTCGCTCCGACACACACAAGTTCCCATGCGGTCGGTCCGCTTATTGTCGCCTTTGAGCGACTCCCTCCCAGAAGCAGCAGGTCCAACATTTGCTTCCATACAACAGAGCAAACTTGCAAGAAAGATGCTTGTCTTAATAAAATCACCCTCGGAAGACTTTCCCCCTTGACTTTCACGCTTTTCTAATTCTTCCACTGACTCAAAGCAAACTCGGGGTGAGCCGCAGAGCGGCGGAGGAGGCTGGCCTGCCGGGCTGGAGCCCCAGAGGCACCCAGGACGGGTGGCAAACAGGCCGCAGCTCTCGGCCATTCAGGTTTTGCCCAGATCAACTGGCTCAATTAAAAGCGATCCACTGACTGCGCTGGAGTGGTTCGAATGGGCGACGTTTGGGGGACGTTAGACCGAGGTTTCGGCTCGGGCCACCCTCCGCTGGAGCATCATACGAGTGGAGCGGCTCTGGCGTGGGGGAGACTGAGGCACAGGGCCGCTTCGAGTGCAGACCGCACGGGAGGAGGGGGCGCAGAGTCCGGCCCAGGCTTCCCCCAACCCCTTGCCCCCCTCACAGGAAGAACCCGGGCGAAGGAGCCCTCTCCGGGCAAAGATGGCTGGCAAGAGGACGGCAGGCCAACAGGTGGGCGGCCTCCAGACATGCTGGACTACAAATCCCATCATCTCACCCCATCAGCAGGACAACTTACAGGTGGTTTTCCCCTGCATTTGGATCACGCATCTGGCATCCCGGCTGATTTCGCGGGCGTTGAAAGGCCGCACCCGGACGGCCACTTTGACGGACGCGCCGGCCATTTCGGGTCAGATTGGGGGCAGCTCACGGGGGGTTACCTGCGGGAGAAAGCGGAACAGGCACGTGAGATGGTAAAATAAATAAATAAATAAATAAAATCGCTCTTCCTGGTGGGGCTGGGACAACCTCCCCTTGCAGGAAGCCCTGCGAAATGGCCCCCGCGAGGGGCAGCTCCCCCTGCCCCGGGGCACATGCCTCTGCCCACGGGGATTTGCCTCTGAACTTCTTTCTGAACTAGGCAGAGCCTGGCAGGCAAATACATATTTATGCACAAGCCCTCGAATCATCGGACAATCAAGAAGAATTTGATCGAGAAGCGGGGAAATCGAGCTGTCCGGTTGGATCCTTCTCCTTTGGAGCCTGAAACCACTGGAGCACTGGCCCCACTTCAGGGAGATGAATTCGTTCTTGGCTGGGGGGGTCCCAGTGACTCGGATCAGAACAACAGAGAGCACCTCCCGCTCGCTTCCCAACGAGCCGAGCCACCAGCGCTGCGGGCCAGCCACTCTGTTCCCCGTGCAGCGGCGCGGCAGGCCGCCTGGGGGGCTGCGGGGAGCTGGGGGGCCTCTGCCCAAGAGCGGAAGGGCAGGCCCCACAGCATCCCCGGGCCGGGCCGGGCCGCCATGCTGCTTTCCCCCGTCGAGGTCACAATAGAAAATGCCAACAAACAAGCAGAACGAGTCAATGGGAAAAGACACGACGCAGGGTCGCAGGTTCAACTCCCCCGTGCGGTGGAGGAAAGCAGCCGGCTGAGCATGGACCGCGAAGGCACCCCCGGCCAGCCCGGGGCACTTCACCAGCCATGAGCTGCAGCAAAGCGCGCCCCTCCTGCTGCCCAGGAACCGCCCCCCCCCGCCGTGCTCGGCCTCTTGCCCTCGCTGCCCCCGAGCCACTGCCCGTCGCTCGCTCAGGAGATGCCCCTGAGCCCCAGGCTGTTCCGGACTCCCTGTCTTTGCATGACCCACAGAGCGGGGGGCCTCCCGCACCGCAACACCTGGCCGTGTCTGCTGACAGGAGCACACACCTTGCCCGCTGCCCCCCATGGGGCAAACCGGCCTTGTAAGCCGCACCGGGGAGCCGGAGCAAAGAACCGCCCTGGGAGTCGGGCAAACGCTCGGAGGGCGGCTTCAGCCGTGGGGCGAGACAAGCAGAGCTGGCCCAGAAGCACCGACCCCTCCAGCCGCGGGCCCCGGGGGTCAAGGGCTGGGGTCGCGGGAGGTGCCCCGTGGCTATTTCTGGCCAAGCCCCTCGCAGTAACGCCCCGAAGCCATCCTTCGCGACCGACTGCAGGAATCCAAAGCCCGGCTTTAGTTTGCCACGGGTAAGAAGTGGCCCGGAAGCCAAGATTACATTCGGGACTGTACAGGGCGTCCTGGACAGACCCGGCAGCTCGCGAAGGCCGCCAGCCACGGACTCTCTGGAGCACCCGTGGCTGTGGAGGGCGCTCCCGGGCGGGCACCTGTCCCGTGTCGGAGGGGTCGGCCTCTGACCCCTGTGGAAGAGGCACTGGGACTGGGGCCCCCCACCCCACCTGTGAGGGGACAGGCCGGCGAGGACCGGCTCTCCCCGCCCGGCCCAGCAGCACCCCAGGCTCGTCCGGGCCTCGAGGGCGGTCTGGGCACGGCACAGCTGCAGAAATGCCAGGCTGCCACCCCGGGAGCCCCCCTGCCCAGCCAGTACCGGGCGCCCAGCACCTCCGGAGGGGCCTTCTGCCCAGGCCTGCTCTAGGGAGCCCCAGGGAGCGAGCGAGCGGGCGGGTGGGCATCCCGCCCGGGCCCTCTCGCCATCACGGCCACCCTCTCGGACGGTGGAGCAGGGCCACACCGCCGGCCAACGAATTCTCCGGCCGTGTGGCCACGAGCGCCCTCCGGAGCACAAGCCCTGCCATCAGAGGCAGCCAGCAGGGGCGGGGGCAGCACAGGGTGGCGAGGTGGGGCCAGGAAAATGGTGCACATGGCCCAAACGCCCCCCAGGCGCCCCCGCGCCGGCCAGCTGCATCCTCCGCCTGCCTCGCCTCGGCTTGGAGGGGCTTGGGGGCATGAACAGGGCTGGGGGTGCCGGCCCACCAACCTGTGAGGGGGGGCAGGCAGAAGCGGAGGAGGAGGAGGCAGGAGGGCCGCACAGCTGGGGGTCCGCGGCTGCCAGCAGGCTTCTGCACACGTGAGCCCCGAGGCCAGCTGGGGACAGGCGAGCGTGGCCAGCCAGGCCAGCCGAGTCAGGAGGGCGGCGGGGACCTCGGAGATCAAGTCGCCCAGCACCTGCCACAGGGGGCTGCTGGAGCCCCCCAGCTACCGAGACCTCCATTTTTTGTATTTTTGTATTTAATGGTAATTTATTATGTTCTATTGTATTTCAATGTATTTTATTGTGTTGTAAGCCGCCCCGAGGTTTCGGCAAGGGGCGGCATAGAAATGTTATAATAATAATAATAAAAAAAAGATGACCCCCCCCCCCCCGGAGCTGCCTCGGCTCTCCCCCCTTAGGACCCTCCTCTACTGTTCGGCCAAGCCCTGCTTCCGGGCAGGGGCCACCCACCGCTTCCAGCCCTCCCCTCCGGAGCGAGGCAGTCCTCGGACGGGCAGCTGCTCTCCGGGGGCACAGGCCCCTTCCCGGGTTGCCCCGCTTGGCCCCTGGCTGCGCACACGCCTCTCCTCCCAGGTGGGGACCCAAGGACACCGGAGGGACAGCACAGAGATGGCGGGACGAGGCTGCTGGCTCATGCGAGAGTCGGAGACGGCCAACACGGAATTATTTTTAACTGAGGCAGCTGCTCCGGCAACCGAGAGCGGGGGGAGGGCATGCCAGAGGTGCGCCTGCAAAGCCGGCCGGCCGGCCGGGGCCGCTGCCTGCACTCCTCCGCCCCAAGGGCTTGGCCCGGGTCAGCCCAGGAGAGCGGGGCTTCCTCCCCCATGAAGCCCGAAGCAGCCCAACGGCCGAGAGCAGCTCTCCAGGGACGCCCCCGCGGGTTTCGGAAGCAGGTCCCATTTGGCGTTCCGCATATTTACTGAACCTTCTCCTGCGTCCTGTGCAACCAGCAGCCCCACGGTGGCCGGAACAAGGCAGTCCGGCCGCACTCGGAAGAGCCAGCGTGCAAATCAAGCGCTCGCCCACCCGAGCAACGGAAAGGTTCGGGACGGAGAGCAATCGCTTAAAAGATCCTGAGGAAACGCCGGGACCAGAGCGGCTTCCCGGGGGAGGGAGTCGAGTGCCACCGCAGCGAAGACCCTGCTGCTCCCCGTGGGCGCTGCCGACCTCACCCGGGGACCTGGTGGGACACGGAGCGGCGCCTCCTCGGACGGACGTCCTCCGCCTCTGGACAATCTGCACGCGGCTATTTTGCAGCCGGAAAACCCCAAGGCGGGTCTTTCAGGCGCAGCCGCTTTCCTTAGTTCTGCGCACGGGGACCTTCGTCTTATGCTTGCACGGGGCGGGGCTGGGGGTGCTCCAGCCTCAGGCGAATTCCCAGGGGCTTCTTTTGACTCGCTCGTTCACAGCGTCAGATCACCACCCCGATTTCAACACCTGCTGATGTTTAGTCCCCGGCCGGCTGGTGCGTTTAGCACCTGCTGGGGTGGAAAACTGCAAGGGGCGGCATTTCCGTTTGACAGCCAAAGACGGGGACTCGGCTCAGCCGCTTCCTGTCTGCCTTGGCCCTGTGATCCGAGAGGTGCTTACTTCCGGGCAGGTCCACTTAAGAGATCGGGAATGCGCTGTCATGAGCGCTGTCATGACCAGTGGGCAAAGCCCGCTGGAGAAAGGATCCCTGCTCTGCAAGCCCGTTTTGTGGGATCGATTTGACCGAGAGGAGCATGAGCTGAACGGGGGGGGGGGGGGAGCTCAGCAGCAAGGCAGCCGGCCAAGCAACTGGCGTTCCTGGCGGGGCACAGAGGGCAGAGCTATGGGGTGAATCAGCGCACTGGAATCCCAACAGGGAGATCCTTCCTGTTTTGAGGGATCCTCCCAGCCACAGGACACGGCTCAGCCCTGCCCGGCCAGTTCATCCGGGTCCACAGGCCTCGAGGAAAGGAGTGGCTGAGGATGTTTTTGAGGCCGGCCGGCAGGCGGGCTGCACACGAAATCACTTCGTGCTGCAGGGGGCAAGGGGGAAGCCTTCCTCGGAGGAGTTTCCGGGGTCGGCCAGGCCGCCCTCGGCTTTTCAGGAAAGAGGCGGCGGTCCATCCCTCCTGCCAGCATCGCCCTCGCTGGCTGCGATCACACCCGACTCTGCCCACGGGAGGCTGCAAAGGGACGCCCTCCTCCGAGTTTCCCAGCAACAGGTGGGGTCCTGCTCATGCGGGGGGGGGGGTGGCACCTGGCGCCCGGTTCCTCAGAGCAACCCTGCCCCATGCTTCGGAGAACCTCCTCCACAGGAAGCCCCCTCCTCGCCCTTTCAGAGGCCCCTTCCACAGCCCTTTGGAGGCAGCGCTGAGCCGGTGCCATTTCTACACAGGCATCCCTGCAGGGCATAGCGGGAGCTGTGCCACCCCCTGGGCCCCGTCGCTCTGTGCCTGGCGCTTTCCGGCCGCCCCTCTCGCCCTCCTGGCAGCTCCCACTGCCTCCCGCCCCTGCGCAGGCCCTGCTCCCCCCGCTCAGAGGGGCTCAGGCCTCAAGACGGCCATGCCGGCAGTCGGGCCCTGGCACCGGTGGGCCTGCCAGGTCACAGCCTGAAATCCTTCCTGGGATGCTCTTGACGGATTCGGCTTTCCTGACCAGCTAAACTTCGCTTCATCACATGCAATCAACTTCTTTCTGCGGGGCAGGTGCCAACGGACCAGGCCTCGCTCTGCACCTCGGTGGCATCATCTTCTGGCATCGTCTTAAGGCTCCGACGCGCGCCTGGCGCCTCTGCAGGAACGAACAGAAGCAGCAGCCCCCCTTCCTGTTTGCACCGCCATCCCGACTCCCCAGACGGGGCTGCACTGTCGCCCACCCCCCACCGGGACGGCTTCCAGAGACTGGCTGCTAATCCAGTCCCTCCTGTGGCACCCACAGCCTGAAAGCACCACGGCCAGGCAACCCGGCAACAGCCCTGAGCCTTTAATTACGGCTTCTCCGCCACCGAGGGGTGTTAATTGCCACACTCAGGCAGCTGGTGGGAAGCAGGCGCCCTCCCTAAATAAAGATCCCGGGCAAACCTCTCCCAGCCCGCCCCACACGCACATAATGGCTGGGTACGAGCACCCCACAGTCACGAAGCTTTCCAGCCCTGGACGGACACTCGCAAATCCCGGCAGCTCTCCAGCCGCTCCTCCCCACCCGCCTCCCCGAAACAGGGAATCTGCGAAATTACAGGGCCTGCCACGGCTCTCCGCGATTCCGATCCGGACAGGTAGCACAACCGGTCGCTGCGACGCCAGGGCGTTTTGGCGAGGCAGAGGTGGCCGCCCCGCCCAGACGGGCCCTGGACGCAGGGCTGCACGCCAGGACGAGCCCGGGCTGCAGGGCTGCCGCGCCTCGCCCACAGCACGGAGCCAGCCGGCCCCACGGACCGCAGGGGGGCACGGGCGGATCAGAGTAATGCACGGAGCGCACTCACAGCAGCCGGCACGGGCGACCCGCCCCTCTGCCCAGGTGGGCATTCAGGGGGCAGGGAGATCATGGGGGGGGCAGGGGAGGCTGCTGGGGGGCAGGGCGGGAGTTGCGGCCGGCGGTGAGCCAAGGAGGGCCATGCACTTGCCCGCCCTGCAGACGCCTTTGGGCGACCAGGATTGCGCCCGCAAGCGCAGGGACCGCAGCAAGGACCCGACTGTGGCTCTGGCTGCGCGGCGCGGGGGGCGCACGAGGCCCCCCTTGGCCCCGGACCAGCGCCAAGAGGGCCTCCCCTCCAGCACGGCCAGCAGGCTGGTCGGGGGAGCTTGGACGGCCTACCAGACATGTGGCACGGGGGGGGGGGCTACAACACCGTGGCAGCCGCAGGGTCCAGAGGCCCGTGCGCCCCAGCCGAGGGCAGCTCTCGACCCCGCACAGAGCGGGCGCGGCAACCGCCCCCCCAGCGCTCCACTGGAGGCTTGGGGGCTTGGGGGCCTGGAGTGCCCGGCGCCAGCCGGAGCCGGTCGGGCAGCGGTCGGCCCCGCTTCCAGGGGGAGAGCTGGCACGGTGGTCAGGCCTGGGCGGCCACCACCACCCCGCGGCACGGTGCCTCGCAAGGGGCTCTCACACGCCCGGTCCAGACACCGCTGCCGGCGGGGCGTGGGGCGCGTCGGCACCGGCCTGCCGCAGCTCCGGCAGAGAGGGCACCGGCTGCCCGTGTGCTCCTGGGCCCGAGGCCGGGCAGGGATGGCTCGGAGGGGCTCGCCCTCGTGCGGCCTGCCCCTGGGGCTCCGCTGGTGGCCTGAGGCAGGCCCGGGCCGAGGGAGGCTGGCCCAGCCAAAGCCCCGCTCACTCCGCCGAGCTTTTCCAGATGCACAACCCTGCTTTCTTCCTGGCAGATACTTTCGTCTCTTTTCCACCCCACACTGCATTTTGTAACAGTTTTACCCTGATCTGTTTGCATAACACTTAGAAGTTTACTTTAATGTAGTTCATAAACATCAATGAATACACAAAAACACCACAAGCCCTGTTGTGCTATGTTAAAGCAACATCTGCAGGGACCACAAAAGTGGCCGCTTTGATTCCTGCCAAAACCAACGGAATCGAACTCCTTGAAGCGGTTCAGCTCCGCGATTTAACGCTGCGGCTCCCCGGACGTCGTGGTCCGGCATCTCCAACCCTCGCCTGCCTGCTTCCTTCTCCCCTCTTTCAACATGGTGCCCACACTTCATGGAAACACGAAAATGAAGATCGACCGACAGAATGAGCTGCATCCACGCAGGGCAGGTGGGTCCGCCAGAAAGCGAGGGGGACGAAGCGCGTCCACCTTGGAGGCGCCGGCACCCCCACATCACGGGCCCTGCAGGGCGAGCCCCCAGATCCGCAGCCGCTTACTGCGCATTCGGGAATGTGTGCCCTGCGCTTCGGGGTGCGCCGGCTCCGGGCAGCCCACAGCAGCTGCAAGCAAAGCAGGCGGCCAGCGAGACCAGAGCAGAGGCGCTGCACCGAGACCGCTGCTGCCGCGAGGTGCCACCAAGCCGCCTGCAACCCTCTCAGGGCAGTCCTCGAAGGGATGCCCCCACATGGCCCCGTCCCTGCCAGCCCCCTCGGCTCTGCTCCGTTCGAGCCGCTCCACCCTGCAGCTGCCGCCCTCTTCCTCTTCCCTGCCCTCTCCAGGGGAGCTGGCTGTGCCTGGGGGTGCCTGAACGGGGAGGGCCTCCGTGGGTGCCCGATAAAACAAGACGGGCCCCAGCGCATCACTCTCCAGAGGAGGGCGCCCCTCCACCGGGCCGGAGCTGCGGTGCAGCGGTGCGCCCGGCCCGCGCGGGGAAGGGCCCTCCCCGCCGAGCCCCGGAGAGCCACTGCAGCCGCCCCAGGGGGCACCCTGCCGTGTCCATGCCAGCGAGCGTGTGGCAGCGCCCAGGCGGCTCCCGCGGAGCACGAGGCGGGCAGGCCGGGTCAGCACTTCTCGGAGCCCTCGGCTGCCGTTCGGAGGCTCGGAGACGCAGCAAGATCCATCGGGTCCAAGTCCTCGGGCCGTCGCTTCCGGCTGCAGGAAGAAGGCGCTGCCGGTGGCCACGGCAGGCCCGCCCGAGTTTTATCGCAGTTCAAGGAGCAAAGGGGAAAAGCAAACACCAACAAGACGGGGAAGGCACCAGCCTTCTCCTCACTGAGCTGAGAAGGAAGGAGAACCCCGCGGGGACTGCAGTGCCGTGGCCGAGGCGAAAGCCCACGAGCCGGATCGGCAGGCTGAGGCAGACGCCAGCGGGCAGAAGAGACGGTGCGCTGGCTCAGCCGCGGAGGGGCGGCGGCAGCCGATCCCGCAAACACCAGGTGGCTGTCTGCTCATAGCCTGTGGACGGCACGCCCAGCGTTTGCTCCGAGGGCGAAAACACCCGAAAGTCATCCGGAGAGCCAAGCGACTTGCAGACAGTAGCAGGATATTGACTGGTCTTCATAAGCATGAGCTCAAAAACACATTTAGAGACAAAGAAAGGGCAGGGAAGGCGGCCCAAGAGGCGCACGGGCCAGAGCAGCTCCCCCCATCTGAGGGGCCTCTGCTGGGGAGAGGGGAGCCCAGCGGGAAGCGCTGGACGGGATGCACAGTGTGGACAAGGCGAGCGGGCGATCACTTCTCCCCTGCCTCGTAACCCTGGAACCCGAGGGGGTTCCCTGCCTCGTAACCCTGGAACCCCAACCAAGTGGCACGAGACAAGAGCAAGCCCGTCCTCGTCCGGCACGCGGTTCTGGGTGGGCCTCCGGGCTGCACGGGCCAGCAGCTCGGGTGCCTCTGAGCGGGGTCTGGGGAGAAGAACGCTCCGGCAGGGCCAGGCGGCCGTGCCAGCTGCTTCCTCCCGGGGGGCGAATGGCTACGGAGGGCTGTGGGGAGCGGGGTGGCCCCGCTGGCCTGAGCTTGCCTCAGGCCCTCACGGGCTCCCTCGACTCTGTGGAGGAGCCCCAGGAGGGGGCTGCCCGTGCCCCCGGACGCTCCTGGCCGAGCCAGGATTCCCAGAACCTGCCCCGGCCGAAGGGCCTCGTGGCAGCGCTGTGGCTGGGATGCAAGGTGCCGGCTGTAGGGCAGCGAGCCCGGAAAGCGGGCAGCAGGCAGTGCCGTGGGGGGTGCAGCTGGAGGCGCTTGGCATGCTGGGCCTGGAGGTGGGGGGGGCCCCGGGTGCCGGCAGGGGCAGGGGGGCAGGCCAGAGCGGGCGCTGGGGCAAACGGGCTGCACGGTGGTGGGGCCCCCCGAGATGGACGGCGGACAGGCCCCCGACCTTGACCAACCCGCACGAGCCGCTCTTCGGCATGGGGCCAGCAGTCTCTTCCTCCCCCACAGCAAGGTCCCACCTCAGCCTCCCGGTCCTTCTCCCACCCGGCAAGACCGGCGGGGCTGCCGGGCCCGCTTCCCGGGGACTGCCGTCCGGTATCAGCAAGCCAAGCATCCGGAGACACGCCGCAGCGGCCGTTGCGCAGCCGAACCCGCTGGGGAGGGCTGGGAACTCGTTCTGGTGGGCCTGCAGGGAGCAGGAGCAGCCCCGTCGGCCGAGTGGGTGAGGCCGCCTGGCAGCGCGAGACACTCAGTCAGCCGTTGGGCCTCGTGGGGCCATCACGGGAGAGCATCGGGAGGGTTCGGCTTTGGCAGGCCAAGGCAGCCGGGACCCGTCCCAGGCAGAAAGAGGGGCCCCGACACTCCCCGGTGCCGACTGGGCAGCCGGAAGAGGAGGAGGACCGGGACTTATGCTGGCGATGCAGCGCCTGTGGGTGTTGGGGGGAAGGGGCTCCCCGCCATGGAGCGCCACCGGGGTGCCCGCGAGTGCCTCCCCGACCCCACAGCCAGCCTCGGCTGTCGTCTGCCTCCTCCTTGGGCCAAATCGCACCCGAGGCTCAGGCCTCAGCTCGGGGGGGGGGGGTGCTGGGCCCGCCATTCCCTCACTGCTCCACGGCCAAAGGGCAAGCTGGCGACGGCCCGGGCAGCCCATTGGCCCCACCTCGTGCCAAGCGGCAACCAGCGAGGGAGCCGGGAGGCAGCCCCCGGCCTACCTCTCCGCCAGGCAGCCCCTGGGGAGCTCGCTGCCCAACCGCATTCCGGCTGATTTCCGAGGGAAAGGCCACCTCCGACCGGAGTACAGAAGCTCGCCTGCCACCTGCAACTTCTCGGAAGAACACCCTTCGTGGGAACAGCAAGGAATGCCCGAGGCTTGCTCACTCCACGGACCAAGGAGCCCCTGCGACGATCCTGTCACGATCCGGTGCAAAGCGTCGCCTTCCCGGCTGGGGCTCCAACCCAGCGCGCAAGCGGCGGCGTCTAGCAGCCGGCCACGTTCGGCCACAGACGCGTCTGCGACTGCCCACGGCCACGGCGCTGGGCACGTTACCTGGTGGACAGGGGCTCGGCGTGGCCCCAGGACGACTCCATGTGGGCTGAGGCGAGCGAGAAGCCACTGGACTGTGCTGTCTTTAGCCCCCAGCGGACAAGGTAGCAACGCGTCCAGCAAGACCCAAGGCGGCCACGGATCGAAGGCGCGGAGCAACCTCCCTGGTGCGCCCAGAACCGGAATGTTTCTGTGTATTCCTCACATCGCGCATGAAGGAGAGGTCACTCTTCCAAAAATAACTCCCGACAACAGGGGATCTCTCCTCCGTGCCCTCAGTCCCGTCCCGTCCCGTCCCGTCCCGTCCCCGCCCCGCCCGCCCCCCCCCCCCCCCCCCCCCCCGGGGCCGCGCCCCCCCCCTTGCCGCCGCCGCCCCCCCATTCAACCCCGGAAACGGGCTTCTGCGGAATCCGGGGGGGGGGGGGGCGCGCCAGAGGTAGGAAGGGCGCGCCGCGGTCCAGCACCCATCGTGCAGGCAGGATGTCCCTGGGAAGGGGCGGCACGGGGAAGGGTCCTGAGGCCCGCTCTGCTGCGGGACCGTCGAGCCGCGCCAGGATCGCACGCCAGGAGGCCCCGAGCGCCGCCTCCCGCAGGAAGGGCGACCCTTTCCCCGCCGGCCGCATCCAGAGCGCCGCCCGCTCGCCCGCGCCCTTCCGGACCGGGGGCGCTCGGCACCGAGGAGCGCGGGCTCCGCAGCCCCCGAAAGCCTCCGCAAGGAGCGGCTGCGGGGCGGCTCTCGCGCGCCTGCGGAGAAGGACGAAGCCGGGGCGCCGGCGCCGCAAAAGCCACCCCGGATCGGCAGCGCCGGGGCCCCTCGCCTCGCAGCCCAACCGGCTCCGGTCGCTCTCCCGCGGCGCAGGAGGACGCGCCCCGTCTTAAAGGGGCAGCGGCCGGGTCTGGCGCGCCTCTCGCCCCCTCGCTGCCCCGTCCGGCCCAGAAGTTCAGCGGCGCAGCCAGCGCGGCCCAAGCCAATGCAGCCGCCGCGCCCGGCCCGGCCCGGCCCGGCCCAGCGCGCCGCGCCCGGGGACGCTTCTGCCCTGTCAGCGCCACTCTTTCGGGGGCTGCCCGAGCCCCCTCGCACTCTCCCGCGCGTGCGCGCAGCGCTCCGCTGGCCAGCAGAGGGGGGCGCCCTGCCCGGCACCGGCTCCCGCCGCCGACAGTCCGGAGATAGGCGCCGCCGCACGGTGCCCGGGCCTCGCCCGCCCCGCGTCCCCAGCGCTCACCTTCCCGGGCGGCTGGCCCTCCAGGCGCGCAATGTCCGGGCGCGCCGGAATGCCGGGCGTTGCCTGCTCCCTCCGCCCCCGAACCGCTCGGCTCCTAGCGCGGGGGCTGCGGCGGGATCATGGCCGGGCAGGGCGAATCCTGGCGGGGCGGGGGCCACCTCCCGGCCCGCGACGGCGGCGAGGAAGCGGCAGCCTCCGCCGGAGTTGCCGGCGCCCGCCGGGCAGGGCAAAGGGGGGGCGGGCGGAGCACGAGGGGCAGGACCGGGCGGGGGATGTCGCGAGACGGGAAGGCGCTCCTGGCCCCTCCCCGGGAGGTGGGCGCTCTTAAACGGGCAACGCGGGCCCTTTGTGTGCGGGGCCGGCGCCGGGGCCGGGGCCAGCCGCCCGCCGCCTCCTTGCGGCCCCGCGTCGCGGACGGGCGAGCGCAGTGCGATGCGCAGGGGCGTCCCAGCGTCGCTGGCCTCGCCTTTCGGGACAGGGGACGGAGGGCTTCGGAGCATTGCCTGAAACCGCCGCAGGCCTCGCGTTGGGGCGGCCCCGGGCCACGGAGAGGCGGACTCATGGCCGGGCAGCCCATGCCAGGCCCCGCCAGCGGGCCCTGCTCGAGGCCGCCCGGATAAAAGCTGGAGAGGGGCCGGGATGGCGGCGCTCCCGCGCTGGCGAGGGGCGCCAGGACGCGGCCGAAGCGCTCCCGGCGGCGGAGCAGGCGCGGGGGGGGCGCTTTCTGGGCTTTGCTGCCCCGACGTGCGAACACGTTGCGGGGGCCGCCCGGTTCACGCTGCCTTAGATCTGCCGCTGCATCTTCACGCCGTTGCGGGTTTTCCGAAGCAGCTTTACTTTCTCTGTAGCTTTGCATTCTTGGGCCGCGTCCTGGTATGTGCACTTAATTCTCATGCACCATCCAGAGCGCTCCGTGGATCGGGCAGCGCCGCACGTAGTAGACGCGCGAGGCGTTTCTGGGGGCCGGGGGCCGCCGGGCCAGGGGCGCCGTGGCCGCGGGGAGCGGCTCCGAGTGGGGAGGGCGGCGGGGGGGGCAGGGCGCTGGACGGGCCAAAGGGACGCGCGACCCGCAAGGACCGCTCTGGAATGGCCTCGGATTCCTCCTCCTGCCTCCGAGGATGCCGCCACGATCACGGGGAGGGGTTTCCCTGGCTCTGCGTCCCACCGCCCCCGGCCAACGTTTCGGGCAAGGTGACCCGCGTGAATGGCGAAGACGGGGGCTGCTTTGGGGGAGGGTCCACCTCCCCGCTTCGGTCGCCGCCCGGCATTCATCCCATGCAGCGCTGCCGGGGGGCGAAGAACCCGGAGGGCCTGCCGGGGGCCCTGTGTCCGTGAGCCCCGCCGGGAGGGGGCGCCGCCTGCTGCCCGCACTTGCACTGCTTCCGTCGGGGAAGGGGCTTCCAGAGACCCTCCGGCTTTTCAGAGGAGCAGCCGCACGGATTCTGCGCTGTCCGGTCGCTGCCCCTTTGGGGGGGGGGATAGGAAGGCACCCAAGAAGCGCTCCAGACGGCACAGGGCGGGCGGGCGGCCGGCATCCACGCTCTGGGCTCGTCCAAGGTGGGGGGGGCTCATGCAGCCTTTAACTGGAGGGGCTGCCAGGGGTCCCACGCCAGGCCCCTCGGGCCGTGCCCCCTCCAGTCCTCGAGCAGGGCGGGCCTTTCCCGCCGCTCCCATCCACGCTTGGCGATGCAACGGGGGCCACGGGGAGCCCCCCGGGACTCGGGTGCGGGGCCAGCCCTGCGCGGACCCCCCTTTCCTCGGCTCGCTCGCCCCGGCCACCACGCTTCCTGCAGGGGCGGCGAGGGGCCCTGGCCAGGCATCGCGCTTCTCCGCCACGCAGGGCGCCCCAGGAGGCTCCCCGGAACGACGACTGCCGCGGAGGGGCCGTGGCGCCCCCTTCCCGGCCCTTGCGGGCGACAGGAAGCCGCGCCCCAACGCGGCAGCGGCGCTCCGGGAAGGGGCGGCCTGGGCGCCCCCGGTGGCAGCCGCGCCCCGCGCAGGGCCAGGGCAGGGGCTGGGC